ATCTACAAAATAACTAATAAAAATTATCAAGATGAAACAAAAATATAATAATAAAAACAATGCTATTTTTTCATTTTTTTTTATAATGTCTACTTTAATTATTTTTCACTTGTTCATGCTTATTTTGCTTTCAGAATCTGTAAAACACAAGAAAAGCAAGAAGCAGAGAAGTAAATCAGAAAGTGAGTCGGATGTTGGTAAGTGAAGCTTACATTACATCATATTTCTTATATTTAAAACTTTTTAATAAATTGAATTTTAAAAAATAATGCTTTAAAATATTTTAAAGGAATTTAAAACATTTTTATTTTACTTTTTTTATTTCCCTCTCCTAACACAGGGCATTATTTTGCACATTTTAAAATATTCAGTGTACTGCATTATAAATTCTCTTCCAAGTCTCTATTAAAAAATGTATGCGAGGAGTTATGTCATTTACATGAAATATTATTTTGGATTATCTTTCTTTTCAGATTCAATTGTAGATGATGAATTTGAAAGAAACAGTGTTCTCGGCTTCAAACACTAGCGCATAGAGAAAGAAAAAATATGGAACCAATCATCCCTACACCCAGAAAAAGTCGAAGATAAATACGATGTGGTGATTTCGAACGATTTGAAAAAAGTGGAAGATAACATTCGCCCGCTATCAGTGTATATAGGCTCAAGATTTGCGGTAGAAGTTAAATCCTTCCGTAAGACATTTTATTTAAGTTTTTCGAAAAGTGATATCGAAAAGCGCAAAAAGTTTATCAACATTCCGTTAACGGAACTTAAGAATGTTATAGCAGGGTTGAATATTATTGAAAAACATGTTAGAAAAAATAAAAAATGGCTTATTTTTTAAATTAATAATGATTTTTATTTTTTATAAACTAATGATATATAAATATATATGCCTATTATTAAATAAAATGAAATATATATAAAAAGATATATAATTTTTTATCGTTTTATTCTTTTTTATTTTAATTTAAATATTAAAGAGGAAAATGTTTTATTTAAAGGCTCAAGCATTTAGAAATTTCGTTAACTCATATCGTAAAACTCTAACTGAAACTATTGATCCTTTAATTGCATTAAAGGACTCAAAAATCAAATTTTTGATTTATTAAATGAAAGGAGTGCTAGATTAAGATTTTTTATTTCTCTTCATAGATGAAGAGAAAAGATGAAAGATTTTGAAAAGATGAAAGATGGGGAGTTAATTAACCATAGCTTTTATTTTAATTCAAATACTGAAATATTGTTATCAGTATATGAACTCGAAGAGAAAGTTAATTCTTCTATTTTAAAAATTTTGAAAAAAATTGAAGATTTTTTGAATTTTGGGTCTGGGTGGTCTGTAAAAAGTATTGATTTTATTGACTTGCATGTAGGATATTATCATGAAATAAGAGGCGGATGTAACCAGATCAATTTACCGAAAGTTTTAAAAAATAAAAAATGTTTGCTTAATATTCATTGTGAAAACAATATGTGTTTTTTATATTCAGTTTTAGCAGGACTTTTTCCTCAAAAATACAATAAATCATTAGAATCAACATACAAAAAATTCTTAAAATATCTATCATTTGACTTTTTGACTTTTCCCGTTAAAATAAGTGATGTAACGAAATTTGAAAAAAGAAATCAAATAAGAATAAATGTATTTGGTTATAAAACTGAAGTTTTTCCTATATATAGAAGTAAACTAAGTATTTATAAAGAAATAGATCTCTTGTTGTATAAAAATCGTTACTATTTAATAAAGAATTTTAATAAACTGCTACACACCCAACGTGGTATACATAAATTTTGCAAAAATTGTTTAACTGGGTTCGCTCATCAAAGTTCATTGGAGGCTCTCATAAAAAGATGTTTATATAATGCACCTCAAAAAATTACATTACCTGCAAGCTATCAAAAATATTTAAAATTTAACTCTTTCCATAAAATGTTCTTCCATAAATTTTGTATTTACGCGGATATTGAAAGTTTAACTGAAAAAATATTTTCTGCTGAGCCAAGTAATGATAAATCATTTTCCTAACAAACTTATATACGTAAGCCTGTGGCATACTCTATCTTACTTACTGTAGATAACAAAAACATTGTTTACCATAAATTTTACTGTGGATTAGATGTTATTTCAAATTTAGTATTGAGTTAACAAAACATTTCAAAAGCTGTTTTAAAATTTATGGAACGAAACGTTCCCATGAATGAAAACGAAATAATATCACAAAATGAATGTCATCTGTGTGGAAAATTCTTTTCGAAAGGAAATGTTAGTGTTTGAAATCATGATCATTTTACTGGAAAATTATTAAGAAAAGCTTGTCAAGGATGCAATTTAAATTATCAAGTAACTCAGTTCCTACCAGTCATAATGCATAATTTGTCAGGATACGATTCGCACCTGATTTTGAAAGAAATTTCTAGTGATTTAGCAAAAAAAAAAAAATGAAAATTATCCCTGTAAACTCTCAAAAGTGTATGTCATTTAGTATTGATAATTTAGTATTCCTTCATAGTTTTTTTATTTCTTCCATCCAAACTGAATACACTAATTGAAAATCTAAAAACAAAGTAATCATAAGTTTTCTATATTTAATTCTTTTTTCAGTTCTTATACCCACATAAAACATTTATTACGTAAAGGTGTATTTCCATACAGTTATTTTGATTCCTTTATCAAATTAGAAGAGAAAAAACTTCCTTCTAAATCTGTTTTTTTTCCAATAATATAACAAATGAAAATATATCAGATGAAGAATATAGATTTGCAAAATTTATATGCAATAAGTTTAAATGCCAAAGTTTTAAAGACTTCTTAAGATTATTTTTAGATACAGATGTTGTTTTGCTCGCAGAAGTTTTTGAAAATTTTCGTGCATTAAGTATAAATTACTTTGAGTTAGATCCTGTCCATTTCTATACAACTCCTAGTTTAACATGGAGTGCTGGAATTAAGAGAACAAATGTTACCTTAGAGTTATTAACAGATATCGATATGTATTTAATGTTGGAATCAGGAATTCGTGGAGGAATGTGTCTAGTTTCAAAGCGCTTTTCAAAAGCAAACAATAAATATTTAGAGAACTTTGATGAAATGTCACCATTTCATCAAAGTTTATGATATCATTATATGTTAACAATCTTTACGGAACTGCCATGGCATTTTACAACTTACCAAAGTCAGAATTTCGATTTTTGGATCAAAATGAAATTCAAGAATTCGATTTAATGTTTGTACGCTCAGATTCAAATGTCGGGTATATATTGGAAGTAGACCTTTATTATCCACTAGAGCTTCATTCTGAACATAATAGTTTTCCTATGGCTCCTCATCATGAAGCAATTACGTTTGATATGCTTTCCCCTTATCAAAAGGAAATTTGTGAAAAATTAAATATAAATATCAATGAAAAAAATAAAAAAAACTTCTAAATACTTTTAATGAGAAAAAAATTATGTAGTACATTATTTAAACTTACAATTTTACATTAAACACGGTTTAAAACTTAAATTTAATTATCTTATGAATTTTTTTTAAGTCTAACTGGTTAAAATCATACATAATGTTTAATAATGATAAAAGACAAAAAGCGACAAGTAATTTTCAGAAAGATTTTTTTAAACTAATGAACAACGCAGTTTTTGGACGCACTTGCATGAACATCAGAAAACATACTAATATAAAAGTAGCGCTTAGTAAAAAACAATGCAAAAAATATGTAGCAAATTGTAACTTAGAAAGCTTTTCAGTGATAAACGAGCATTGTGCATTATTTAAGCTGTTAAAATCTAATCTTTATTTGAATCAACCTATGTATGTAGATTTTACAGTTCTGGAGTTAAGTAAGTTGTATATGTTTCAGTTATATTATGATATTTTTAAACCTGTTTACAAAGAAAGAATTAATTTAATTTACACAGACAGATTCGCTCTGCCTGGAAGTTCTGACTGAGGATTTTTCTAACGACTTCGAAAAAAAATTAAGAATTTAATGGACTTTTCCAATTATGATGCATCTCATAAATATCATTCAACAAAACATCAGTCAATATTAGGATATTTAAAGGATGAAACAAAAAGTGTTCCCATCAAAGAGTTTTGTGCATTACGCCCTAAGATGTATTCTTATACTTTTGGAAAAGAAAACAAGAAAACAGCAAAAGGAACTAAAAAATCTTTGGTTCAAAAAGTTTTGAAACATGAAATGTATTTAAATGTGTTAAAAAATGATCATTTGATAAAAAATAAACAATCAAGCATAATTTCTAAAATTCATACTGTATCTACTATACAACAAAATAAAACAAGTCTTTGTAGTTCTAATGACAAAATGTATTTATGTGATGAAATCGAGTGTTTAGCTTATGGTAATGTTTCTATTAGAAAATAGTATTAATACATTTTATAGTGCATGATCCTATGTGTATACATTATTCTTTGAATTTGATTAATTGTATATATAATGTATTTCATATATATGTATATATATATGTATATATATTAATTAAATAAACACTTTTTTCTTATCAACTTGTCTCTCTTATTTGTCTCTTGTCAGTCTTATTTTACATACACAAAATAATATTAAGCGCATAAATCCTTTATAACCAAAAATCAAGCAGTAAAAACTTGTAATAACATCAATTACCATTTCAAAAATTTAATACAGATTAAAATGAATTTGAATTAAAAAATCTTCTTAAATAAAATACTATTTTAAATAACAAAATAATTCTTTAAACAAGATAATATTTTTTGAAAGTTTTCTGAAAACAGTCTGTTACATTTGTTTCATTTCAGTCTTATTTTAGGCAAAGAAAAACACAAGACCCAGGGATCTCAAATTTGAAAATGTGTTAAAAATTGAAATAATTTTTTGTTTATTATATTATCTTGTTTTATATCGCTAGCATTGGCTGGGTATGGTATATGGTTATTGTCTTGGACATCAAATCAGAGGGTCCCAGGTTCTAATCACATATCATAAGCCAGTCAATAACCAGTGGTGGCAGAATGGCAATGCGTCATAAAATGGTTATGAAGAATGCGGGTTCAAATCCCGTCCACTGGATGGCAGCACAAATTCTTTTTATAAATTTTTAATTATTTTGGAATTTTGCTAGGTTCAAACATGTAAACAAAAATGAAAAATTGATTGCGAGTTAGATAAATAACAGAAATAAAATTATTTTACAACTTTTGATGCATAAAAGATTTGAAGCGTTGATTAGTTTGAAACTCCATAATTTAGGTTTTAGTCCAGATACCAACAATATATACTACTAATTAATATTTCTTTTTTCAGAGTTATGAACTTAAGAAAGAGTTTTCTCAGTTTCTGTTTTTTCGATACATCATTGCTTTTAAAATGCTTTTCCTCCCATAAATATTAATCAATCAATCAATCACATTATTTTCCCTGTGTGTTAAATATAATACATATAACATAATTAGGGATCCATTTTACAAAGAAGTGTATGCTTTTTTGTAAAAAAAAATTAAAATATAAAAGATATGGGTTTTTGCTGGATTTTATCATGCTGACCCACATTTTTTCCCTCTAAAACTAAATAAGCTATTAATAAATCTATGCCTAATGTTATTTAAATATCCTTGAGAATATTACAAAAAATTTTCATAGTAAAAAAAATAATAAATAAAGTAGTAGGGGTTTGAAATATTTTAAAAAAATTTAAATTTTTAAAATTGTGTTAACAATGTTTTCTAATTTTCATTGTCCAGAAACACTACATAACTAGCTTGCTAAAACTAAATTTTTAAATGCATTAATTAAAAAAAGGGTAATTGTAATAATTTGTAAAATAAAGTATCCTTTCTATTGACATAACCTGCACAATCAAAACAACATCTTGGATCTCTTAAAGTTATTCCTAAAATGTCTTTTCAGTTCTGATATGTTTGCCTACCTAATATTAAAACTGCATAATTATCAAATAAAAAATTAATGCATACAGTTGACGAAAAAAGTATTAAATCACAATGAAAATTTGAAATCGCTTGTCTACATGATAGTAACATGCTCATGTAATGCAATTACAGCATTTCTAGGTTGATCTGATAGTTGTCTCTACTAGTTTGTGATTAGTTTCTTTAGAATATAAACACAAACACACCTTTTAAATACATAATTAAAAGTTTGAGCTGTGGATTCAGCAGTCACAGTTTCATTATTTGATGATATAAATTCTAGATAACAAGATAGAATAAGCTGATATATACATATATCCAATGTTTATAAAGCATTTAAATATCAATTCCACTTTTGAATGGAATTTCAATCCTAAAAAATTCCATGAGACGCATTAATAAACAAACCAATTTTTTTTTCAATGACAAAACTTTACGTATGCATTTACAAAATAAGATAAATTGCATCCAAGAAAATGAACAAAAAAAAAGTCTTCCATGATATTTAAAATATTATGAAAACATTGTTTGTTCATAACTTTTATCAATTCCTAAGGCATCTTATTCAAAACAGAAATCCAAAGGTCAGTCAAATAAAAATTGTTTCAAAAACCGATAAATTTATCAAATATCAAAAAATTATTAAATATCAGTTGAATACATTAAACAATTGAGGAAAATTACACAAAAAAATTCAAAAGCAAAATATTACCACGTTATTTGCCCTGAATTGGATAAACCAATTAAAACAGCAAGCATAAAATTAATCCTTCAGCGTTTTGTTACAATTGCATTTAATTACTTATTCATTTTAAAAAAAGTTTGCAGAAATGTTTTTTTTTAAAATTGCATTACACATATTTGGTTTGTTTAGTTCTTCAGAAAGATCAAAAGCCTGCTTTATAAGTAAATCATGGTTTTCCTTCTAGATTTTGTTTTTATTGTGTACAAAGTTCTTGTACAATAACAGAATCAATCTACGTAAAGAATTCTCGAGTTCTTTGTTTTAAAGCTTCATGGTAACATCTCTGTTAAACAAAAATGTTTTCTGTACATTTTCATCTATCTTGAAAGTTTTAAATTATTTCAAGTAGAGTAATTCACAATGAATAAAAAAAAATTCTAGCTAATTAAATAAAGGAAATGTTAAAATATATAGCCTAGCAAATACATTTAGGATAAAATTAGCATTTTCCAAATGTGTAAGAGTTCTTTGTTATATATGATATATTTTGCTTTCAATATTTTCAAAATTTACAAATGAGTGTGTTTTAAGATTCGACAGCATCTTTTTTTTTAAATACGTGTATTACACATCATATGCATGAATATGTTTTGTACTCTTTATATACAAGTATTATTATAAAGCAGACAACTCATTATATAAATAAACTTGCTAAGGAAGCTTTTTTAGGCAATAGGTAATTCAAAAACAAATAGAAATAATTTCTTTCCAAAACATTTATTCAACTACAGAATCACTCAAGAGTTTCAAATATCCAATTTGTTTCTTATATACACTTACTAAACTTCCCAAACTTTTTTTTTTTAAAAAAATTAAATACAATTTTCATCACGAAATTCATACTTTTTTAGTTCAAATAAATTAATAAAAGCATGAAAATCTATTTTCAAAATTAATGTTTATAGTCTGACGTAATTCCTTTCTTACAGGAAAAAAATAATTTCAAAACCTTTCCAAGCATTATTCTTACACTAATATTGCTTCACAGTTTTTGAAGTCACAACAACAGCTAAGAAACTACCGAACAATCTAGTAATGTTTTTACAACTAATTGCGCAAAACATTTTGTGTGCGATTTGGTGCTATTAATTCCTATGAAGGCACTGCTTCACTCGTCCAGTTTTCGGTCTCCCATAGGGACGCATGACTGTTAGATGCTAGTCACTGCTTCAGTCAATCAACAGGAAAATCCCCTCTACACCTCAGCGAAATTCCTCTAATCCCTACGATTTAATTAGACTCGTCTAGTTTTCAGTCTTTCATAGGGATGCATGACTGCAAACAGATGCTATTGGACTTGGAACTCTCAAAGTTTGAAGCATTTAAAACAAATGAAACAGGAATTTCCCATAGGGAAGAGTCTGGAGCTTGATTAGAATCGTGTTTGGTTGTGGTTGGAAGGATTGTTACGCTATCCGACATAGTCGTAGGATGAGATTGAAAGAGTTTTAGTTATTCTTAGAATGGATTTGATTTTTAACACGTTGTGCTGGACACGAAGTGGGATAAAAGATGAAGTATTGGCTATGATCCTGTGAGGTCTATTTTGAAGTTAGTTCTACTGGTGGTGGACGAAGCTCCCCTTCTCAATCGGGCAGCTGTAGGTGAAGATGATGTGAAGATATTATAAGTAAAGAAGTTTCTTATTTTTTGAAGATGAAGAGGCATATAGAACGATAAAATCACTTCTTTTCAATCAAAATTTATTGACGGATGGCCTTCCATCCTACTCGTTGTTTCACCGTTCTCTCTCTGATACAAAAAAAAAAAAAAAAAAAAAAAAAAAAGGAAACTCTGTCGACACAAGAAAGCGCCATCTAGTGGCGTGTATATATCCCCATCTTAAAACCACAAGGTTTCAAGTAAATTTACAACAAAATAGCAACAAGTTGAATTTAACATAAAAATTACATCAGTTACATTGGATTTAACACATTATAATATAATCACTTAATCATTGAGGAAATATAAGATATAACACCACACAACTATAATAGTTAATACAAAAAAATCTATATCATATTATCTGAAATTGGTACAATGCACACATTAGAAATACTTCTTTTATAAGTGCCCTTAGGTTTTCTGACCTGCACTACTCTAACTTGTCATCTTTTCCATAAATGACACTGTTAATTCTTCCAATTGACCAAGCACACAAAGGTAGTTTATCTTCCTTTAACAACACGACTATACCTGGTTTAATATTAGTTTTACTAGCATGTCACTTAGATCCTTGTAGTAGCGTATTCAAATAATCTCTGGACCAGTTTTTCCACACAATTTGGGCAAATTTTGTTAAATGTTGACATTTGGAAAGTCTATTATTTTCAATATATGATAGGTCAATCTCAGATAAAGCATTAAGTGGTCTGTTTACAAAAAATGGCGAGCGTCAGAACACTAAAATCGTTTGGATCGGTTGATAAAGGTGTGAGATAACGACTATTTAAAATTGCTTCTATTTGATTTGTTATAGTCAAAAACTCTTCAAATGTGAGTTCATGGTCACCCACAACTCTTTTAAAGTGGTGCTTAAATTACTTAGCCCCTTCCTCCTGAAGCCCTCCAAAATTTGGTGACTGGGGAGGAATACAGCTCCATGTTACACTCTCAGAATACAAGTAGTTAAGAACATTCATATTTTTGAACAAGCGTATAATTCTTTTATTTCCGAAGCTGCACCTCGGAAATTTGTAGCATTGTGAGGAAAAGGTTATGCTGACAAACCTCAGCGTACAAAAATTCTTTTTAAACATGCAATAGTAGCCTCTGCCGATAATTCTGTAATTAACTTCAAATGTACGGCCTTGGTTACAAAAAAAAAAATATGCAAACATAAATGTTATGATATACACTTTTTCTCTTATTTTTACATTTTATTAAGAACACAACAATCTAGGCCAGTTTTAAAAAAGGGAGGATTGATGGTCACTCTCTCTTCAGGTACAGGTGCCATAATTTGATTAATCTCCCTAGGCTTAGCTTTAAAGCATTTTGCACAGTTATGGAAAGTTTTCCGAGCAATATCGCACCCATCCAAAGGCCAGTATTCTTGACGAATAGCACATAACAAAGTTTGGGGCCCAACATGGTAATTTTTGAAATTAATGAACAAAAAAATCATTTCAGTAAATTTTTGGTTTTTAGGAAGCAATATAGGGTGTTTCATATCAATTGGTAAATTGGTGTTATGCAATCGACCACCAACTCGTATAATACCTTCATCATCAATAAAAGGGGATAAACAACTTACATTGAATTCTTTAATTCTCTTATTTTCTACCAAAGCTTTTTTTCTCCGTAGAAAATGGTTGCATTTGTACATGTTTTATAAGAAGCAGTTTACCGTTTTTTAACTCTGCAGTTGTTAAGGGTCCTTTTTCTTTGGTGCAACT